CGCAGTGAAAAGATATTTTATAGCACATCTATTTTAGTAATACAAGAATTATTCTGAAAATTCCCTGAAGAGAAATAAATCCAGTTATCAAAACTATTTAAAAAAATCGGAGGATAATCAGAATGAAGAAGAAAGTATCCCTCACCTCACTACCAAATTAAGTTTGATGTCACCAAGTCTCAAGGAATAAGAAAGATCGGAGAACAGCAAGCAAATTTCATATTTAACCTCATCTACAAATATTCTTCATTATCTGAATCAGTATCATTTCACAAACAGCTTAGAATTTTCTCATACGCTTTAATTTCATAAGAACAGTTTGTATACGATATAAGCACTACTAGAATGTAGAGACAAACAGAAAAGGATGGGAAAAAAGACAAACGGAGCGATCACTGAAGAAAACTGACTCACAAAATCAACGTAGAACCTCACACACAGGCGAATTGGCTGGAGTTACCACACTTCACAGTAGTACAAAAAGAACGTGAATAGAAATGATATCAAAGCGGACAAAGTTGTGTAACAGAATCAACAATCTGAAGATAACGGTTAGTGCAAATACTCAAGCTTCAGATGTCAGGGAGTGAATACATCTGCGCCATTGTCACTGATTTCAAGCCGTGTCAGCAAGTGTCCTCAACCACTGATTCCTATAATCTCAGGGACCTCAACCAGGCGGTCTACATCGCCATATACGACTGAGACCAACAGTCAGAGACTTCATCGACTAGTGGCAGGTCTTGGTCTGATCACCCTGGACCCTCTTCCAACCTAACCCAACTTTCCCTAGCATGGAGCGTCGAGGTAGACAGTGGCTCGATATGCTCTTCAGTTGGTTGACAATCTCATCAATCGACTTGCCTGATACCCTTCGCCTGACTGCAATAGTGCTCACACAGTGATTCCACCAGTGCTACGAAGATACCTATAATCGCTTCATGTATTCTACTTTCAGTGACCATATCTCCCAGCTGTACAACAGGACAGAACGGACTGCAGAACAGTGTACTAGTCCTTTGATAGATAGATGTCTCACCGGCGTCACAGATGATGCAAGTTGGGAAATGCCACACAGACCTTCTTTATCCAAGCTGAGACGTCGTTAGCGACCAGGCTATTCGGGCTGATGCAACTCCCCAAGAAAGTGAAGTGGTTGACACATCCGATCACTTCACTTTTGTTCATTAAACTGGGAGTACTTGCAGCAGACCAGTCCTGAAACATCATCTTGCATTTGACAAGTGTGAAACCCATCCAAAATATACTCAAATTTCTGCTCAGGGCGTTCAGAAGAACCTACATTTTGTAAGTGTCTTCACCTAGCATGACATCATCTGTAAGCTCCAAGTCAACCTGATGACCCCCATGGAGTAGTTCAGTCACCGTGGAGTCAGGCATCCCTAGGGTTATGTCCATTACTACGTCTATAACGCAGCTGAACAGGAACGGCGATAATGGGTAACCTAGGTGGACAACATTAGTTGTCATCACTTCTGATGACAACTTCCCATAAGCCCTCACAAGGCTGCATGAGTTCGAGTAGACAGCTTTGATTGGCATTAAATACTTGCTCGGTACTCCCTTCAGTCCAACACTGACAGTCAAAAGCTATCTTCAGGTCAAGAAATGTAGCAAGTGTCGGCCGCCGGTAAGTATGGCTGTGTCCCAGAACCTGTTGTAGGGTAAACGTATCTTCGACGTAACCTAGTCCAGGTCTGAAACCTGTCTAGTCTCCTCGAGCTTCAGTTAAGCGTCGCATAACTATGAACCCTAAGATCTCTGGCACAATATTAGTCGGACTAATTCGTTTAATTCTACCCCTTTTTATAGACTGGGATGATCAGTGAAATAAACTGGTCTAATGGGACTACCTTTGAATCCCATACGCTACCTACCACCTCGGTCACTCTAATCGGCAATTTTCTACCCCCATCATTGAAGACTTCAGGTGGCAAACTATCAGGCCCTGATGCTTTGCAACGTTTCAGGTTTAGTACGGCTTTCTCAATTTCAAGAAGAGTTGGAGGACCGACACCTATGTCCCATTCAGGTTCAGGCTGGATGTTGGGCGACTGAAGCATTGTTGAGGGTCAGTTGGAGTGTGCTTCAAAGTGTTCCGTCCAACGTTCTAGCCGCCTGTCCTAGGAGGCTACCAGAGTCCCATCTTCTTCGGCCACGGTTGCACTAACCACCGACTTCTTCTTGTCGATATCCCTAATAAGCCTGAACAGTTGGAGATACCTTCTCTATCTCCTTCGCCGCCCACTACTGGGCACGGTTAGCGCGAAGACTCTTGATCTATATATCTTTAGGTTGCTTTCGCTCTTCTCCTTGGTCAGAATCAGCTGGAACAGGGGGGGGGAGGGAGGGAGGGTAAGGTTGTCGTAAATATATTCAATATGCTTTAGTAGTGAATGCACTACGATTCAGATATGGAAGATTCGAGGATACCTCAGTATCACATGATTTCAATTCTGAGCAAAATTTGACTAGACTTCAAACCGCTTAGCTGAATGATATATTGGACCACCATTCAATCATAGGAAACTATATGTTGGAATGCAAAAATGATAAAATCCACTTGATAAAACGTTAAGGGAATAAAGACGATTACGTATTATTGTGTAGTTTATAGACTAGAGAACTATGGCGATTTTATAAGTGTTGGTATCCAACAATACTTAATTTTTTTTCTACTGGTTCAAAATCATTGCATCCACTTCTACTTAAACAGACGATTCGTAATGGAAACAATATAGGTGACTAGAAGTTAGTGAATAATAATTGTAGTTTTACAGATAAATACGGGTGAAAAAAGGATTACGTATTATGAGAATGAAGGTCTTTGACTACATCATAATGTGTTATTCTTCATTTTAAATAACAGTTAGTCATTATTTGTATGAACATTAACGCTAGAGAATAAAAACAATCCGAGAGTTATGTTTCTTTGCTGCGACAGTAGAAAAATCTCCACTTCGTCAGCATAACCGTCTGATTTCCCAATGTTATTCAAATGTGGGATTATTAATTCACAGAAGGAAATAAATTTCCATAATAATTACTGATCTGAGTTGTTGAGGAAGTGCTCTTTCATTGGTCACTGCTAAATTTTTTGTTACCTAGTTTACGCTTATGCATCAATGATCGTTCCCATTAATTTGATGCAAAGAATCATTTACTGACTTTCAATAACCTTAAGTAACTAGCACCTTTATTCAATATAATAACGGATTATAATAGGTCTGTGATAAGAAAGAAACGTAGCTCAGTAATCACAGGCGGACTGGAACACTAAGTAATGAGTCACGTCTACTAAGTGGGAGCTGGTGATACCAGCTTGCAGAACATACCTCAATAAGAAGAAAGGGGTAGGAACCCTTGATCTACTGATCACAAATCAATCGCCTAGACCAAAAAATTAAAACTTTACATTTCTGACAACTAATTAGATAATAAACCATCAGTTCAATGTTTCCTTAAGTACATAAAAGTTTTGAGTCAACGCCATAAATTTTAATTTTGATACCAGCTTTTTGCAAGAAACCTTAAGGAAGAAATGAAATAAGACATCGTGTCTGTTGTTGGGAAACAAGATTTACAAAGTCGAAGAAACTTCCCTCTGAGACATAAACCCATGTCCAATTTGGAGATGTTTCGTTTGCAAACCTGAGTCGAAAGCCGTTCGAGTCTCGCAACAGTGAGTTCTGTTTAGAAAAGCGATTACCTCCGAAAGTATGGCAAGTTCTCAATTAGGTTGGCGATAACCGTTTTCTAGTCAGAAACTAAATTCCCTGTATATTTTGCAGGGCAGATAAACCCAGAGATAGTCAGTATCTCAGATCTCAATAAGCTATTACGCATTACTTCTACATTTCGAGTATAAATAATTTTTGCATCCACTGACGTTTCTAAATCTAGTAACCACTTATCAGCTTTTTCACTGACAAAAAGCCTGAACTCACCAATATTCATTGCTAGAAAAAGAAAATTATCCACCAACAATATGACAAAGATGAGGAAGATCTGCATGTGAAGCCCAACGGTTCAAGTTTTACAATTACACAGCGAAACATATATAGCTGAAGTTACCTGTCGTTTTCCGCTTTAATAAACTAATCCGTTAAATATGACAAAACGGAGTTTTTTAGCCTTAGTGCTATCGCAGTATTATACTTAGGCGTTCATCGTCTTCGTAAACACAGCTGATATTTAAAAAATGCACCTCCAGTTACATCATATAAATGCAAGGATTGAAAAATGCATACCGTAATCTCTGAAAGTGTTCAACTTATCGGAAAACTAATCAGACTACTCACTAAGAATATACACGTTTTCGAAATAATTGTATACCGTTTTTTAGGAGAGAAGTGTACACATATAGTAAAACTATAACTGTAACCAAACACATACACACCATCTACATACAGTTAGGCTATTTTCCCCAGCGGGAAAGCAAAGTCACTACAAATCCCTAGCAGCGGTGAAGAGAAGTGGTAATTCGGCGAATGTTAAACAACTATGTGTACCAAGAGAACCGACACCACCGAGGCAACAGTGAGCTAAACGATGACAGATCAGTGTCAAGACAGATGAATAGAATCGAGGAAAAAGGAGATAACGAATATTCTAACCAGTTTATGACAGTGAATAGAGAAAGAATGACGATTGTTCGACCTACATCAGATTTCTGGTAAGTACTTTAAAAATTGTATCTGCTTGTTTCATAACTGGTTGATAAGAAAGTGTGATTGCAATATTTTAATGTAGCGCAACTACCGGATGTCTTGAACGCATTAACCCTCATAAAGAGCACTTAAGATTGACCAATGACAACAATAAGCCTACTCTACGAGTAGCTGAATTACAGGTATTCCCATAATATCTCGAAAAATCAACAGACTATCATAATGAATATTTACTGATATATACATATTGCAGGAAGTATACAGAATTGTGTTTACAAGTTCATCAAAGAAAACTTTATTTCTAAAGCATCACATGGGTTTGTTCAGTCGATCTTGGACTGCTTGCTGTTGTTGTTGTTGTTGTTGTCGCTGCTGACTCTGAACAGCTAATATAGTAGCCAAGGCTGCTTGTTGCTGCTGCTGGAACTGATTGTGAGCAATTTGTTGTTGACGCTGTTGTTGTTGTTGTTGCTGCTGCTGCTGAGATGCGATAACAGCTTGTAATAGTGCAGCATTTCCTGATGCAGCCATTGCAGCAGCTGCGGCAGCATTATTCATTGAAGCCATTTGTTGTTGCTGTTTTTGTTGCAAGAGTGACGCTTGTAGAGACAACAAACGTTGCTGTAACTGTTGTGGTAACAAAGCTGATTGCACAGCATGAGAAAACTAAACAATATGAAGGAACAAATACCATAACAAGACTGAGGAATAAATAGGTAGATGTTAAACTTACCAATTAGCTATTCAAGCCCTATGTTCCACTAGGAACCCAATGGATAAATAATATAATAATAATGATAAACAGTTCCAAAAACAAATGAAATCAACTGGAAGAATACGTTAAACCGAGACGTACTGGGTAACCAATTTGTTTTCACTAGTCCGCGTGAGGCAGTATCTTCCAATTCAATATAGGTAACAAAACTCATAATGGTACATAACTCACTCAGTATAAAATCTCAATAATTTTAACGGAGAACTCCATCTGGTGAGACGAACTAATGACGATGTGAGAACAGATATCTTTTCACTATGCTAAGAAATGATCGAGATAATTGTAGACATTAGTCCAAGTTGGAGAAATGTCGACGCAATGGCTCAGCAGCTTTTCGATCATTAGACACATATGTAGGTAGCAGGTTCGATCTAAGAAAGCATAGTGTACGCTGAAGATTAACTCGGAGTTCTGCTAATTCGTGGTAGGTGTTGGCACTTAACACTTGGCAGTCAATATGGTTGCGAAACTTCACTAGTTGAGGTGACTTGGATACGTATCGCTTAATTCAAGCCACCTCTTACCCTGACATGGAATGGTAACCGAAGAATTATGTTTGAGGAAGATTAAGATGGCTGGACCAAAACATTGTAACAATCCATGAATTTTCTTTTAGCCTCAGCTGTATAAAGTGTGGATGTTGCGTTTGAGATACTCTAAATGACGTATTTCAGAGGTTGGAAAACCCAGTGATATGGTGGGAAATCAGTCACAACTATGTGGAGACATACTCTTCAACAGCTAGGGAAATGTTTTTAATATTTTATAGGTGTTTACGTATGATTACCCTTCCTTTTATCCACCTGTCTTTTTTGATTGACTTTCACTTTCTTCTGCAGTGAATTGTAGAACTTGTGGTGATAAACTTCTGTGAAATGTTCTGTCCCGATTCATCGATTTATCTGACATAGCGCATAAGCTACAATAGTTTCATTTCGACAGCTTAACAAACCCTGAATAATACGTGGAATCAGAGCATATGCAACGATACAAAATAATGTATTAACGTTTTCGGTTTGTGAGCTACTATGATTTGGCTTAGAGCGAACCACGAAAAGACTAAATCATTTTAACACCTGGGATTTAAATAAGAAGTCTGTAGATTATCTTGCGTAAATCTAACGTTAGCCAAAATGTAAACCAAATACGAAAAATTACCTCTTGGTTTGCAGAGGAAACAGGAAAAAGTGAAGGGTTTGCTGCAAGAGACTGTTGGGCAGAGGAAACAACCGTAGCCTGTTGATACTGCTGTTGTTGTTGTTGCTGCTGCTGTGCCGCAGCGATTAATGCAGCTACAGAGGCTACTTGATTTTGTGTTGGTGTATTCAATCCAGTATTAGAAAGAACTGATGCAGTGAGATTGGAGCGTAGGAGACCTAACTGAACTGCAGCAGGTAATGAGTTGCTAGCGTTGAGAATAGAAGCCAGATTATTTGAAGCACTAACAGCAGAATTGGTAAAGGCATTACCAGGAGTAATAGTGGACAGTCGTCTTTCTTGAATATTCTTAAACTGATCATTTGCAGAACCGGCTGCAGCCAATGCCAGGGCATGTTTTTGCCATTGAGCTATTAACTGCTTTTGTTGTTGCTGTGCGGCTAACAAAGAAGCCGTTACTAAATTTGGAGCAATATTTACTCCAGATAGCTAAAACGTAAAATAAAGAATGATAGGTCATTTTTTGCAAAAGACATGTAGCTAACAGTGTATAGGTGTTGTAATGTGGAATGAGACTGCCCTAATTCCCTGAGGCTTCCTGCAACCAGTCATGCTGCACTGAATTTTAGACAGAAAGTATATGAACCGAATTGTAAATATCAGCTTGGTTGAAGGAACGAAAGTTAGTGGGATATTCAAATCTAGAAAGGTCTGGAAATAGCTAAGGCCATTGTAAATATATGTAAACCCTTGTATTTTGTAGATTTTTGACGTTGCAACACCCCTCCTGTAATCTTCATTTATCGAGAAACTGAGCAACCAATTATGGGGAAATCTGAAGGTTGTTGTCAAAGTGTCCATATATGTTTAATTTACCTTACAGTGGAGTTGTGGCTCAGTGGTTTAAGGAGATGACTATTAATCACTGGGTCACGCGTCCCGACCCCACCCCACTTAACCAGGGGTTTGGACAGCTAGGTATTATTACTAGCCTTCACACAATAGATGTGGCCCATTGCCTGCTTCACGGATGTGCACAACGTGGCTGAGTGCGTTATTATTGTTATTATTAATAACTTGGGTTATATCAAATAGTCACTGAAAGGATATAACAAGTAGCGATCAGGTCATAAAAGTGACGAATGGGGTTATGAAAATAAGTATAGACAAAAGAATACATATCAAATTGAAAAAAAGGACCAACTCCTATGAGAATGACAAGTGTAAGTCCATGGTACATCTCGGTCACCTTTGAACTATGTCGATAGAGGAAATAATTACTCTGCTATCGATATAACTTGAGTGTTCTAAATACTGCAGGTTGTTCGACCTTATTTAGTATAGACATCAGTGAACATAGTGTAGTGCTTCACAGGTTTGAAACCAGTCATTAAATGAACACAGAAAAAAAAAGTTTATTTGTTATTACTGCTGTACAGTAAGAAATCTTTGTGCGATGTAGTAATCCATTAGTACTATTTGAAATTCGACTTCATGATAGAAACTGGGTTGTTAGGAATTCTAACCACAAATATACTTAGTTGGCGGACTGATAACTCATTTAAGATTTCAGTATAGAAAGCACTGATATACGATATAAAACTATGAGACACGAAACACACAGTGGCAGTAACCGGTGCCGGTGAAGACTGTAATCAAAAGACTGACGACTAAGTAACTGGTATAATGAATGTTATTAGAAGCTAACAGAGTACAGTTCCAAATAAAACTTTCATGAATAGTAAAATATGAATAGTTTACCTGAGATTGCTGAGCGATCAGCTGACTCAGTAACTGTTGCTGAGTAATGGACTGAACTGCATTCTGAGAGGGAAAAATATTGTTGTTACTACCTTGAGTCGCCGATTGTAATGCAGCTGCGGCAATTAGTTGCCGTAACTGAGCTTGTTGGATTGATGTCGATAAAGGATTGCCTTCTTGTTTAACGGAAGACGGGAATGAAGATGATGTGGTGGGCTGTTCCACTGATAAACTGGAAGAGTTATGTGGATTACTAACGGACCCAAGAAGCATTTGTGAGGCATCACTACAGCTTACCTATATGAGAAATATCAACAAAAATTTACTTTGGAAAATGTAGCTGACAGCAAACTAAATAAAAAGCAATTAAGATGCAGAACTAATATCAATGAATGGTACTTTCAGATACTTTGTAGGACATGTAAAACCTACATGTCATACTTTTAATGAAATAGCTACCTGCGGAACTTTGTCAAAATGTCTTCACAGCCCATCTACTATGACTACAATAATATGGATTTAGCGAACTAATCATTCTATCTTGAGTATCAGCAAAAAAACTACCAAGTTTAACAGACATTTTGGAATTATACTAATCATCAATAGGAAGATGCAATGATTAAAAAGTGATAAATACATATAACCAACTGTGTTAGGCTTCATGCATTGGGCAACGAACCACAAGTCACTGTGTCACGTATGACTTGGTCATTCAGACCTCGGTTGGCGAAGCTGATTTCATATTATTGATTTAATGGTCATTCCAGTACGACGGTATAACACAGTCTCAACAAAATGATTTCTAAGCAGTTTTTTTTTACAAAATCCGATAGGTTCATATAAAAAGTAAACACACATGAAAGGAACAAACCTGTTGCGGATACGCAGCCCCACATAAAGCAGAAAACTGCTGCTGTTGTTGCTGTCGTAAAAGCATTGCCTCGGCAGCCACGTGTTGAGGAATTGATGCTTCAGTGATGGCAGCGTTACTAGCAGCTGTTATACTACCACTTGATACTGTAGATAACAATGGCGTGCTAGTTGCATAAAAGGGCAAAAATGAAGGAGCGGAGTAAATAACACTGGCAGGGGCGAATACCATAGTGGACTGATTTTGTTGCTGCTGATGTTGCTGAAGCAAAGCTAGTTGCCGTTGTACGTGTTGTTGTTGAAGTAACTGAAACTCGTTGGTATTTCGACTTAGTTTCAATTCCTCAGACATAAGAATGCTACTACGGCGTAAAGCATGTTCTTTGGCCTGTTCTTGTAGTGCTAAGATTATTTAAAAAGATTGAATTATAGTAGATAATGGTAACATCAGCAAAGATAAACAATTTAAAAGTGTAAAGATGACTTTCAGATACGTTAAGGAAAATCGAAATACACTCAGCAATCATATGCACGTTTGAGCAGTAGGCAACGAATCACAACTAGTGATACTAACATGGCTTCCCAGACATAGCTGCGCTAATGACTTAGGGTGAACATTGAGAATGTTCATAATACGTTTTTCTCCTGAATGCAAGCTGTTACTTGCAGAATGACCAAAATCAATAATACCTTATAGAACAACAAGGAGAGGTTGGATGCACTAATCATTCAATCCACTTGAGAAGCCACATTAGCTTTCATTGGTTAGTAATCAAAGAAATTTTAGTGCACATTTAAAAATTTCGATTAAGTTTCATCAACTTGAAGCATCTGATCGTAAAGGTAAGATAGTTCATTAAATTTAGAAAGAAATGAGTAGTTTTCTGTCTAACTGGCCTATATCAACGGCTTTTTTAGGGTTAACCTACTAACCGTCAGCTTATTCCGTTTCTTATTCACTCAGCACTACTGCTAACGACTACCGTGATGTTTATTGAATTTTCATGTCCAGTACTTTCGTCAGTTACCGCACTCAAAGTCAATCAAAAAGAAAATAAATAATAAAACTCAACCGGGTAAATGCTTTTATGTACCAGCCTATAATTTACACTGGTTGCATGTGAGGTTGGTGACACCACCCTATTGTCGAGGTTAGTACCAGGGTGGAGTTCGAACCTAAGACTCGTTGAGAGAAAGGCATCTGCTTCAGTTAGTGAGTCATAACCTCGACTATAAGCCGAACTCAATCCTAGTTAACCAATGATTTCGAAGAAACATAATTTTTCTACATTACCATAAAATGGTACTGTTTCCCTGATCGTATTGAAAACAAGTGATTGAGAACAGCCAGTCTCCCAAAATGAAGCCACAAAGGTATCTTTCTATCTGATATCATCATTTTAATAGTCCATCTAAAGTTGCCTGCTGCTACTACCACATCTAACGTCTAACCTTTAACAGAAAGCTAGTTAACCCTATAAATGAAAATGTGTACTGACTCAATTGAAGCTATTGCCATCCAGATTTTGAAACGAATGTCTTACACATATCTGCACGTTAGTGTGAACTAGTTTTTGAATATTCAGATAACAATACGATAAATTACTTGGAATCATTATTATGATCATGAATTCAAGTGGATTTACGGACGTTCCTAACACTAGTATTTTCATTGGTGCAATACGCTAATCGTTTAACCGAACTGTGGATATGAATATTCCTAACATGCAGTTTAGGGTTCACTTTCAGAAAACGAAGGACGCTAATAACCGAATCCTTTGTACGGAGACAATAGGTTCTAAAAGGTGACAAAAGATTGATAGGATGAGATGAAGAAATTAACGAACAGCAAGAAAAATAACGTGAATATAAGGGACTACAAAACAGCTGATGTGTGAACGATAAAGTGAGGTTTAAAAAATCTATAATTCAAAGAAGATCAACTAATAGCTTTAAACTTACGTCTATACAACTCAGCTTGTTCGGGAGGGATTGTAAACTCTGGGGATTGGAACTGGTAACTTCAGCAGTATCATTGTTTCTAACACCTGACGTCGACATAGTATCACAGAAAGAGTTTGAATTATTCCGTGGTTGTGCAGCTTCGGAGCTGGTAACTGTATAACGATCACTTGGAATAGATGTCACACAGTCACTAGCATCAGATTTGATGACATTATCGGCAACAGATAAGCCGAAGCGTTTAGCCAGTTCTGGTGGTACCTTGTACATTAAAAAAAGAAAAACGAAATGCTGCAATAACGCACGTACCACAGTAAAAAAAAAACACGTACATGGAATGGAAGAAGAGAAATCAACGATATGTGACAAACTATAAGTGTATGACGTTTAAATAAGTGGGTAATGATGTAAGCTTGCAAAATTACTATAAGCCTCAATAAAAAAGATGAACCATACAGATATGAAGTGAACACATGCGAAAATGTACAAATGAAGAAATTAAATGCATTATTTTATGTGACAGGTATTTACAACAAAACTAGCAATCTAAATACAGCTAAGCCGAAAAATAAATATAGTTATTTAGTCAGTGCGAGTTAGAAAAAATGACGTGAGTGAAACGCACTCAGTCACCTGTTGCACAGTCGTGAAGTAGGCAGTGAACCACACCTATTGTATGAGGGCTAGTGATACTACTTGGCTGTCCAAATCTTATTAGGTGAATCCGAGCTCGGACCCGTAACCCAATGATTCAAAGTCACCTGTCTAAACCAGTGAACCACAGTAACAACAATGACAACACGAAGTTAGTTCCACTTCATATCTGTTTGTATCTGGATTAATCTGCTTACTACTAGGTATTGTTGTTACTACTACAACAGTCATTGTTATATTTCAAAAAGTGTCTTCTAAATGTTCATGCTAGTAATTTCATTTTTGTGGTGCATTTCTTGAAAAAATTGAAGTAAAACAATTGTTGGAAAAGTTGAAATGTACTCATTCATCAAGTGCACTTCATGCAGTAGACAGCAAGCCACATATATAGTGTTAGGGTTCGTTATAATACCTGGCTACCTCAAGTAGGTAGGGCGAGATAAAACCACTAGTTGAAGGTAGAGTCCAGAGTAGTGAGTCACAGTTCTCAGGAACAATCATTGGCAGAATCCTACCAAAGTTTTTGTGTTGCAAAGGTTATTTAATCATCAGCTTTACATACGACAGATTAATTAGTGAAAGTAAAATTGTCAAAGCTGCTATTACTTCTTATATCTAGGGATATACTGAAAGGATGTGGAAGTTGGATTAGTCAAATTATCATTTAGGGCTGTACTGCGTTTAAAATACATTACTTTTCCTCCTGGAAAGCGCGCTAACGCTCAGTTTTCTGGTTTAACCTGTCGCATACCAACCACATAAATGTACAAAACAAATTTTGAAAATAACTGATTACGAAATGCAGTAGTGATCGAAGAGGTGTTCAATTGCAAAAGTACGTGTTTTACCAAAAATTTACATATCCCCGGGACCCGTTTTTCGTGATGACATGAAATTCGTACTCTTTAAGCATTTGAACGGTGACTTTTTCCCATCATCTATCGCTATTATCTCGACCCATCTCTATCACTGTCCAATATTATCGACTTCGACGACTTCATTTTTTGCGTTTAGTTGATGTTTGTTTTCCCTAAATCTTTAACCGTAAATGCAATATTAACTGCTTGAAGACTTATGAAAGCTTTGAGGAAATAGTTCTTATAAACAGTGGGTAAATAAAAACGCGAGCACTACAGGACTTAGGAGAGTATCCATAAAACCTAACCACAGTATCTTCTCTATGTGTTAACATGTCTCTTTACGTACTTCCAAACACGTACTATTATATGAAGTTGGTTCACAACGAAATAAAGCTAAGTCGAGGACTATTAAAAACCAAATGGTCTACATAAAGATTTCAAAGAACTAGGACAACCTTTAATATGCATTACATCATCTTAAACGATAGCTAAATGAAGGTTGTGTGAGAGTTAAATAAAGACTTACTTATTTGTATCGTCAAATACTGGAATACCTTAGAGACCCGAATAAAAATACTATTCCATGTCGAAGGATACAAATCTGATAGAGAACTCAAATCTCTGTGGTGATTGAATCACTACTCGCCTTCATCGTATGGTTCTACTGCGGTCACAAGTTTAAAATAAGCGTAAAGCATTGTAGTTGTCGGAAAAGTATATATATTTAGTCTTTAAGGGCACTGCTTGCCAATTTATTGCTTATTGAGATATTTTGCGACAACAAATGATCTGATGGTAATTTGCCCAAGTCTTAAGCTATTTTGAATGTTCAGAACGAATGATCCCAAATGTGTTTTCCCTTATGTTCGTCATCCGAAAATATTATTATCTTGACTTAGTGGCGCCTGATTGTTGGCAGATGAAGAGTAATCTGACTTCAGCCAATCTCTAGTTCAAAATTCATCGTTTGACTCAAAATCTTATCACTAAACTCAGCAGTCATCAAACTCTGAGAATCTACCTACTTTCGAAAATTCAAGTTATTAATATGTTAATTAATTAATGTCAACTTCTCCAGCTTGTTCAAACATACTGCTCACAATGAACAGGGAGGAACCCTAATTATACCCATGAAAAATTTGAGGACTGTGGAGAGAATCCATTTATTATAAATACACTTGTAATGAATATTTACACACAGTGATGTTATATTACATTGTATAAATATTCATGGCAAATATATTCATAATAAAGAGATGAATGTGCATACTCCTTGTTTCCATAATCTACATATTCAAGTATTTCGGCAGCCTGTTAATTTAACTTTGACAATTCACTTATTTTGCCTCAAACCAGGCTATATCATCAAAATATTAGACGATGAACTCTGTTACTACAACTCACTGGTGATAGTTTGACGTTTGAAAATGAATTTAACATAAAAATTACTTACAGGATTCAAAAATGCTTATCAATTGATATTGCTTAGAGAAGTGAAATTGATCAATTGATCGTGTCCATAAAAGTATGACTTATGACATCCAGAATTAAAGCATGCTCTTTTATATACTCGTTTACAGGGGCTAGAATATCGACAACAAATTACTATCTTGCAAATAATCATCTTAAAGAGGACAAATAAATAAGCACACAGAAGTCAAACAGGGGACTTTGAACTTAAGAGAAAGAGAATGATAAAATGCAGAATACAGATGAAACAATGTACAAATGCCATAGAAAGAAATGTTTTGAAAAAACCTTCGGATAATTAAGTTCTATAAATATGCAAAACACTAAAATATATAGAGGGAAAATAGTAGACTTTTGGATAACCATGAACATAATAGGTAGTAATTGCTAAACTATAGAGATAGCACATTCTGCAGGTGCTGGAAGAATAATCAACCAAAACGACATTTTTCCAATACAGAAGTGAATTTGTTCACATCCTCAATTAAAAACTGTAGTTCATTTCTTGGAAAAAGAGAATGTATGCGAAAGCCACAATAAGTTTTATTCAGACGAAAAACTGTGTCTTAACTGACTGAAGTTACACTTAATTTTCTTTGCACAGGAAGCTTTATTTAAGTAGCTAACCTTTTTGATATCCTTTTGAAAAAATGGTCAGAGAAAGTGGCGGTTTTTGTAACAACTGTTTTTCAGAGAAAGGGATTTTTATGTACTTAAATACAAAATTCTTTGATTGAAAGAAGGGAAAAGTCTTGACCTTGGAGATTTGGTGAGTAACCAAATGAAAACGCTAACATTTATCTAACAGACAGATAAATTTAATGAATTCAATCCACCCACCTAGTGATCACATATAACCAATCACAGGCACTCAGATTGGAGGTTTATAGGAACTGGTTGGTTGTAGGGTATTATTCATCACCAGTTGGAGAACCACGAAAAACCTAATAGCATTGGACACCTGTTTTGCCCCAGTGTATAACACTTTAGCAGTGTACACCCACATCACAAAGGATCGGAACCAGGAAGGTTAGGTTTCGTAGTGAATACGTTGCCATTCGGTCACTGGGTCGCAATTTAATAGTTTACATTATCCTACTTGTCAATTCGTAATGTAGCCCGACCACTGTCTAATCCTATCAGCGAGTGTTTGTCTTCATAGTCGATGTGGCTAACATCACAGGTCACGGCTTCTCATTAGAACTTCAGGAAATTAGTCTTAAAACATGTCACCGATGAGTAGTAGAAAGTACTTCAGTTTGGAGGTTTCACATTCGCAAGTTAAGGGACTGGACTGTATAAACTTCATCACCTGAGAATATTAAGCCTTTATTATAAAGAAACAAGTGATTTATCGTACAGAAAAACTGCAATTTTTCATGAATATTGAGCCTATAAATTATCTTCCTTAATAGCGTACAGTGTTGAGACTAGTCTATGAAACTAGTTTCCTTCAGAACAGCTGGGATCAAAAGTCATTTAAATTAAATGAATTAAAAAGGAGAAAGACCTTACTTCAATTGCCAACAAATAAAAAAAAGCTAGGTAACAATAGGCAACTAACTTGTGGTCCAATGTACGGCACAGACTTATTTAAATGATTCTTACTATCTAAATTATCAGAAGATTGATGTAGTGCATCTTGAGGTAACGGTATGTCTACAAGTACTGAAGGACTGGATATTTTACTATCCGACTCGGCTAAAATAGATGAAGATAATGGTTGTGAACGTGAATCACCGTTATTTTCATCAGATAACTTTAAATTATTAACAGGATTTGAACCAATGTTGTTATCACTCTTTTTTGTTGAGGCTGATTCCCGCAATGACTTTTGATTCTCTGAAAGAAGAGAAAATGATGAATGATGATATCAACTTACTATACAGCAAGATAAACGTCTACATTAAATGATAACGCAAAAGAATAGTTGAAAGAAATCCCTAGAGACATTTCTTAGAAAATATAGAAAAGACAAACTCACTTACTAGACTGACCACCACCCACAACTCGTTTAACAGCTGCTGAAACCGTCTCGTTGACACTAGGTATATAGGAAATGGACTTTGAATCATTATAAGGACTATTCACTTTGCCATCTGAAGTGGTTTCTTTACTAACTGACCCAACTCCAAGGCGCGTAAGACGGTGTTCTGGTGAAGTTCGGGTATAATCATCTGAAGCTTTTGTAATAGACGATATAGGTCGATATAAAGGAGTACGAGAACGACGAGAGGAAGAACGGTTTTTAGAAGTATCGCGACGAGAGAAACGAGAGCGTGATGAATGGGAAGACCGTGAAGAGAAGCTGGAATCCGTTGAACGCCAACTTCTTGAACGAGATCGCGATCGAATTGAATAGCTTCTGCGCCTATGTCTTCTTCGATAAAACGATCTAAGATGCCTACGTCGACGAGGAGTTCTCGCAGAGCTTGACCTTGACCTAGAACTATAGCTCGAACGGAATGAACGTGAAGTACGGGCAGATGATCTGGAGCTGTAGGACTTTGATTTCAGATAGCTTCGCTTATGTCGATCATACTTGTGAGAAGATTCCGTATGAGAGGAGTAACGTGATCTGCTGACTGAGGAATGATACGAGGAGGACACATGAGAGCGTGAGCGTTTACGACTCGGAGGTGTACCATCAGCAGTACTCTTGGTACGAGAGTTCCTTCGATTATCATAAAATCGAGAACCATCAGAAGCTCCTGATGAAACAGACTTTTCTCGGCGATCAACTGAACGATGGTCAGAATTTCTCTTGAGTCTACGATTATGTGAATCTCTACAGGATAATTTTGACTGAGATTCGTCTAAGTTAACTGGATCGTCTTTATAAGAACTATTTTGATATTTTCCATCTTTTCTCTTTTTATGTAAATCATTTTTCGATTCTCTTAGTAGACTGGACTTGTTGATTACGGCTGAAGATTAAAAAAAAAAAGAAAATAACAGGTATCTGAGGTTATTGTACTCATGCATAATCTAAATTTAACCGAAACTCACATTTCTCATGCTGAAGAATATAAACGAAAATAGCAAACCATGTACTTGGTCAACCGGGATTGATTGGTTCTAGGTTAAATAATGCAGAACATCTACTGCAATTTAATACAGACCACAAATTATTTCCAGTCAGCATTAGCTCCATGCACACTCAACACTGTTATGCTACGTATTGTCCACCCTAAGTCACTAAAACCTGAGCTCCAACAGATCACGTTGTAATCAGCTACCGATGATGTATGTATACACAACTCTCGCTTCTTCTGGAGTACCTGCCTAGACTGTGATCACGCATTAATGCATGCTAGGTTCATCTCGTATTTCTTGATCTGAAACGTGTCCATATAAGCGTACTGTTTGCATCTAGTATTCCAACAAAAACGCCAAACCAAGGTAAATTCAAGGTTGACTCCTGAGTCTCCTGAAAATATGCATGAGAATTGGTTGCGCTTACGAAACACCATGACAATGACTAGTAAACCTGTTTGTGGATTTGAGGAACATCCCGCTAATAAATACTGGATCTCTGTGAGCTTCTTATAATCTACTGACACGAGTCAATCCATCCCAGCAGACAGTAAGCACAATAGTATATATATATATATATATATATATATATATATATATATATATATATATATATATATATATATGAATCCCTTACGCAACAGATCAGGTAACATTTTCATAAGGACTCCAAGACTCACCGATCACAACGTATGAGTGAGGTGGAAGCAGCAACCACATTTTCTAACAAGAGAAAGTTGTTCCAGCTCATCTGAGTCACCGCCAGTAAGAAGTATTACGTTATTAAAAGTCTGTAGTGGATAGTATAACGATCAGCAACCTTTGTAGATGCATGAGACGCTAAGCGCAGCGATTTACAAAGCAATTTAACCGACCTACTGCTCAAGCACCACCAACATGAATATGTTTTGCTCCACGGTCAGTTCGCAGAGGTCCCGCAAAGAAGTCCAATTTCTAAAGGGCTGTAAGGCAACCCAGTAGTGGAGTGCTGGTGAAGGCGTGACTGATGAAATTTCTAACCGTTTCTCAAAAGTGAAAGCAGAATACGCCAATCTGGGTCACCTTTAATGCCATGGTGGCGCTAGTCTTCCTGTGAAATATAGGATTTACAATGCACCAGTGAGGGGAACTCTGCTGTACCCCTGTGAAACCTAGCCATTCCAAGCTACGAATATCCCACGACTCTACGTGTCCAACCACCTTTGGTCAAGTAGGATTGTAAGTAATTCTGAGGTGTAGCGGTGTTTCGGCACGATGGACACAGTCCTTTATCGACTGAGACCATCTTGAAATACCGACTTCGGAGGCTTAGATGTGTGTCATATACGACGTCCCAGCAGCTCTCCCACTACCACTAACTTCGTTTGCCCTACGACTAGTTGGATGATTTCGACCAGGGATGATGCAGTGCGGTGAGATCAAAGATAGTTGTGTTGCGTTAGCATCCGTAAGTGCTTCATGACTCTCTTGACGGCATTCAAGAGATCAAGCAACTCAGTGACTCGACACGATAACAGGCATAACGTCGAACCAAAATCAGTGACGGTCGGTGCTGTAATTTTCTTACCCTATTATCGAGAGAGAAAAATAAGTGAATGCTCTTCTGAATGAACATTTGGAACGGTTTCTCCAATAAACCACAGCTGTTTTGTTCCCCATATTTTTCCATTTTCTGTATTAAGCTTTCATCTCCTTAGTACCGCTGTAATATATTGTATGGCGTATACCTCGGTGTTTATGTTGTTTTGACCAAATAAATAAAAACAGCCGCTTTTATAAACAGATTCTGTTATGTCTTTCAAAAGGATTGCATTGAAAGAATTACTAGATAAGATTCAATCAAAGTTTGCATGTTCAGTGCTCATCGGAGAAGAGCATAAAAGTGCAAAGCAACCTAATAAATGAATGTCTATCAGGCTATGAGAAATACTTATTGGGTGAAGGTTAAATAATATTATTCAGTTGTACAGGTAGAATTGGATGGGCTTTTCACCAAGAACCGGTTGCTTGAAAATCAACTGCTTAACCTAATAACTTACTTTTTACGAATTTAAAGCAACTGGTCCCTTTGATAAATTTAAACAGCGTAAACAGCGTATCCCTTCCTATTCCTATGTTTCCCATTAACTTCATTGACCTTTTCGTAAATTTTCATATAAATAGTTCGACAAGTCCATGTGTGATCAGATTGTTCGAAATGTATAGCGCTAATACATCACATGTTTCAGATAATCTTCGTCTTCTCATTACTTTTTACGGTCTGTACTAAATCGAAGATAAGCATAGAAACAGTAAGTAGATGTAACACTAGTCTTCTCGTCAGGACATGCTTAGATAACCATGAAATAATTTTTCGCCCAACCATTAAACAGCACATCTACGTTATTTTAAAATCAAATTACATATATCTTCTTAAGTATCTGTACTCTTTAAAAAGCAATGACTAACAAAATAAATTGGCTGATAATGAAGTAAAAGGTTAAGCCTTCCTTATACAAAAATAGTCAGGAAAATGACGAATAAAGAAAAGGCGAGGAAAACTTACAGTGAGATGTCTTACTTAGAGGATCTGACAGATTTGATGCTTGGTGATCATACGGTGAGGTGGCATTTTCATTTTCGCTAACCATTTCTGCACGAACGACCGAAGAATCGAAGTCACTGTCACTAGAATCCCAGGTAGACCTTGCAGTGCTTTTGATAACTTTGATGTTACTCGATATCCCAGAAGTTGTTTGACCTTTTTTCGGGTCCAGATTGCTACGATCAATTTCTGACACGCCGACATTTCCAGATCGAATATCACCGCCCTCTTTTCGCCTGACTTTTCGTTTTGAATAGGAATGCTCTTTGTTTCCATGAGGCAGTTCTTCGTCTGTGCTGTTATAAGCAACAAGGGTGCTTGAATTGCCTCGATTTCGTCTATGAACTGATTGTGTTGCATTTCTTGTTGAATGAGAATCATGTACATCTGACTTCAGTTTTGCAGATGTGTAGTGTTTACTAGGACTTCTATGAGTTGAATTGCTTGGGGAATGATCACCAGTATCATAAAGGCTTTTAGATTTGCCTTGGTTACCGAAAACCCCATGAGTATGACTGTCACCACGGTTTGATTTCTTATAAGGAGATTTAGTACTTTTGCGATCACAACCAGTATCTTCGTCACGGCTGTATTTTGAACTGGATGAAGACTTAATTATTGTACTGTCTCTTGCACTGAACTGCTTCTGTTTCGACCTATGACCTGTTATAAATGAGAAATACATTTATGCAGCTAGTAAAAGTTTTATATATATATATATATATATATATATATATATATATATATATATATATATATATATATATATGAAAAAGCCACAAGCTGAACAAGTGTTCACTATTTGTGAACAAATCAAGTTGGCTTACCAGAATCTGGTGATTCGGGCTTGATATCACATCTTCCAGATAAAGTTTCATCCTGTTCATCCGAATTGCCAAGCTCAAATTGAGGAGGAGCGATCTTGTTTGATAGCATAGAATGTTTGACAGGAAATGTCAGTGATCCATGCTTTGATTTTGAATGTGGATCTAGTTCTGATTCTCTGTCCAAAAAACAATGAAATTCGGTTCACGTACAAAACTGCATTTGCGAAAAACTAAATATTCAGAAGAATTTAATAAATCATTTACAAAAACTGATAGCTACCATGTAGTATGAGATGATTTTCGTAATACTGGATGCGTAAAAAGACCCTAGTTAGGAGCTTTTGATCACTTGACTCAATAAGTAATTTGATGTCTACAAGTAAACGACCACCTTAGGAATACCGGTATATTCCAATATTTCGAAGATACTACTATAGTTTATATGTATTTGCGATATAATGATCTGCGCTTTCATATCGAGGTCAGTGACTTTCTGATTCAAAGGAACCGACATCTGTCCAAAACCTTGGTAATCTTGCTATCTATCATGGAAAAGATTTAAGGAACATCTAGGTAGGTGATTATATAGCTAATTACAAGACTGTTTTCTTAATATTCAGCATCCGTTTTCACATTTATATTTTTTAGTGGGTTATCTTCCTCCTGGCAAGAATCTAAGTCTTGTAAGAATAACAATGTTGGTCAGCCAAAAAGTGGTCATATATCGATACCATAAACACTGTAAAACATAGATACTACAAAAGGTAATGTGTACTTCACTGCAAAATGCACATCTGGTAAAGATTAAAAACGGCTTTACAGAAGCCTTTAACTCTGCGTTCCCAGTACTAAGTGCACTGATGAGGCTGTTCAGTAGGCAAATATGAAAGACATCAAAAGCAAATGATCGATAGGATACAAGGAATATGGAAAATGTAATCGACTATAAACAGTCGACCTTCTCTGCTTCAGTATCTAGGGATTGACTGTGCACTGGGTGTGAATCAGAACATTGTCGTAACCATTCGTACTGTTGCTTTTAATTTCTTACCTTTTGGTTGGTATTAATTTCGCCTCTTGGATTCTATTTACTGCTGTAGTTGGTTTAAATATTAACCTAAATGATAGTTTTACTTTTCTCAAGTAAGATCTCAACTCTATGCTGGTACTTCGGATATTCTGAAACTTCAATAGTTGGGACAACAAGTCTTACTAACAATCCAACATATCAGAAGTTACGGATATATTATTTCTAAAGCATTTTTATGTAATGAACGTTAAGTCGTGTGATTCAAGTTGAGAAGGCCAGCGATTTCAGTTACTTATTATCAGTGAATTGCCAGCACACTTCCGAGTATGCAGTTCGAGTTCAAAATAAACACTTTATGTGATTCCAGTCAACAGTATGCTGTGCACTGTGCAACTGAGTGGTTCAGGAGGCATTTGAAGACATTTTGATGAAGGCTAATTTTTGCATTTGTGAACGAAGTGAAATGGTGCAAAATGTACTAATGTACAGAAATACAAACCCTGTTGCTTTTTTTCGAAGTTCTTAGTAAATGTGTACGAATTCATTATCTTTTTAATCTATACTGCTGCTTTCGACGTTTTATTCTACTTCTTGAAACGTTCATTCCATTAATATCCACCGTCATGTCTTTAATCAACGTTATATTTTCAGTCATACTTTCTGAGATTTTTTTATCCAAAGAATCACAAGTAGTAAAATGGTCTGACATGTAAGTGTGCTGTGAAAAGCCTACTATTTTTACAGTATTAAGATACAAAAATTAAGGTGTAACAATGAAAGAATAACTCACCTGCTATTAGGCTTCACATGTTTCCCATTCTTCTCACCTCCAAAGGTCTAGTTTAGCGACAAAAAGAAAAAGAAAGGCTGAAGCACAAAGAAAGAAAAATTAGTTGAATGTTCGATTAAGTGGATAAGATAATACTCGCCAGGAAAACTCACAACTGATTTTCAAAAACACTACACAAAACAACTGCCCTACAAGAAGGCGTGGTTTTAAGAGGTTGCAGTTAGTTAATCAATCGTTGCTGTTACTATTATATTTATGCAGCACCAAATTTAATGTGATGAAAAGATTCTCGTTAAGATAAACAGTTGTTTAATATTCAAGTATAGCTGTGTTAATCTGAACAAATAACTGGGGCAGTACAACCCAGGAGATGAGAATAAAACAAGCAAACTAAGCAGCATATGATAATGAACTACAAAAATAACCAATAGCATAACAACATGATACAGGAACAATTATGAATTTTAAAAATACAGAAAAACAATCAGTACAATCAAAGACAACATGAATAATCATATTAACAGAAGGAAAAACTGAAAACTAATAAAATGTAAGTCTATACGCAAACATACGTATACAGGCGTATATACACCTAAACGGACGCAAACTAGTGCATTTCCAACAAAACATATCACGAAAACAATTAAAATGATGAAAACACTGATCATCGACAAAAGATCATGCAACCGAAAAAGCTAAACATGTATGTGTATATGAATCGAATGACGGTTACGTTAAGACCACTATGCAGGAATTAGGTACGGTTAGGAGAAAATAAGTTGCAAAGAAAGGAAATAAATGGAGAGGAAAGGAGAGAAGTCGAATTTATCACCGTTTGTATAAATAGCCTCAAGAACCTGTAACATAGGTGTGGTCAAGAAAACGATAAAACAGCATAATCAGCTGCAAGGCACAATTATGAGGCCTTTATTTCGTCAGACAATATATTATTAACAGGCAAACGTACAGAAAAGTAGGAGATGAAGAGCACTGGTAAAAACTACCACAGTGGTTACAGTCGATGGCAAAGAGATCTTAACGGCAGACAATCAGATCAAAACAAAATATGCAAACCGTCAGTACGGTAATAATAGTAATGATTGTATTGATGTTCACACTACGTACCTAATTTACAGCTGCTACACCCATATATATATATATATATATATATATATATATATATATATATATATATATATATATATATATATATATATATATATATATATATATGGATAAGCATATAGGTAGGCATATACAACTTTAGATGAACTGTAGATATAGACAAAATGTGTAATTTTTGTAGTAAAACATTCAGTCAAGCACACGAATGATTACACAAATAAGCACACAAATACGATTTTACGAAAAAATAAACAGAATAGGTAAAAAACACAAAAAGTACGGAGGGTGGTACAGAAGGGTGGGAAGTAGCAGATGGAGCAAGTGTGTAGCCAAATATATATATATATATGTATTATAAACACACAAAGAGGGGGAAAAGGAAAGATGCAAATTAATTTGACGTTAATTAATGGATCAAAAAATCGTCACATTTACAAAATATGAGACAGGAAGACCGAAAAATAGATAATAAATATAAATGCTGTTATTAATGCAATGGCAGGATTTCGATACTGTGATAGAGTACGATTCAGCACTAAGTTTATTCGATATACGACAGTGAAATATTATTTTTCTAGCACAATTCATTGCGTATAATCATATACCTCGATATGAATATGAGAAATAAATTGTGCTCCGAATGTTATCTAGTAAATGTTTTCCTGTGCTTTATACTAAATAAACTGATTCAGTAGTATCACTTGTACGCGAAACGAATTTATCTTGTCTACTGGTCTTACACTCAAAGAATCAAATTAAAAAGATTTAAGCATTCCACCAGAACATGTTTCAAATGATTGGGGTTGGTTTTCTCGCTGAATATGTATACTAGCGACGTTTGATATCACCCTTATGATAATAGTTTCATAGCAGTGAGGTTGTACCCTATCCCAGGATGACGTTTCTGATCTAAGAAGCAATGTGATACGGAATGTCGAAGGTAACAATAAGAACGAATGTATCCACCATAAAAACGCTTTTATTGTCTATAGTAATGTTATAGTGGTAGTGCTATCGCGTTTAACTTCGATTTGGGCAATTCGTTTTTTAGGCATCCTTAACTAGTAAAACTTATCTGGAAGTCTGGATTTTTATGCTTCGAATGTTGATGTATTTGTTACATTTTACTGAGTTTAATTGGATTCCACCATAAAAAATAGTGGTCGATCAACAGAGCATGCTTCTGTTCAGGTAGTGCTAGATCATGAGACCAACATTCTTTTTCTTCTCTGACCTGCGTGGGATTCTGCAGCTTGAACGGATTCAAATCGGTTCGGATTTGATTGTTTACTAGAGTTGTCTATGCTCCAAATTTTCGCTTTCTCTCTAAAGTTGGTTCTGATTTATTCGGTTCGATCTCATGATGTGTGTAAATGTCTGTTATGTCATTTTCGTATCAGTCAATGTTTACTGACTGTCGTACTAAAAAATGTCTTTCCTTTTACCTTTGTGGTTGTGTAATGCGGTTCATTATCCAACGGTATAACTGTGCACAGAACACCTGTGCTCTACTTGGGAGTTGCCGTATTTCATTGGAAGATTTAAAGATATTCGACAAATGTCAAAACTAGCTCTTTCCAGTTTAATTAACCGTATATACTTTTGTTTATCGGTTTTTTATGAACGAGAATTTCTTGTTTAGGGAGATTCATGTGGATTTGGAACTGATCTGATACGGTATCTCAATCAACAATGTTTTCGTACTGAGTAATGTGCATAGGGGTAACCAAATGAAGCTAGATTTTGGTAGATACATTGCTTACATGGTAAACAGACTGTTTCCCATGATAACAGATCGCTGGTGACAGCGAAGTGTTCGCTAATGAAAATCCACACTCAATGAAAGATGACATGACCACATCCAAAGATTTTCCAACGGTGAACTCTTTAGATACATCCAGACGCATGTATCCTGTTAGCAAACCTATTGCAAATTGGAGATCGTTTGCTGAGTCACTTTCCAACCGCTATTCAAGATTGATCCCATCCAGGGGTATTTTTGTTTAGGCTGAAAATCGGATAATAAAACCGTTCACTATGAAGTAGACGTTTTCAGTGATGAGTTTTACTTTTTAGGGCAAAGTAGTTAACCGCCTGTTACTGCTTTTACTGTCAGTAACTACACGTAAATCTCTTATAAAACAATATCTATTTAAATGAGCCAACATAACATTTATGAGACGCTTTTTTCATTTCGAAAATGAATGATCAAGATAAGCGATCTTACGCAAGAGTTTGTATCCTCATTTTTATATCCCGTTACTTCCGACTGTTGGCGCGAGAGAAAAAAATGAAAGCGAATATTAATATAATAAACATCAGGGTATTGCTAAATATTAAATATAAAATTGGAATACGACGAAAATTTGCAGGTTTCTGTATTAGTTGTTATATGTTTTAAGAAAGTAAAAGTGGGAAGCATCCGTTTAGAGAAAGTGATTACTTTCCAAAGACACTACCTCAGTTGATCCTAATCGAAACCGTTAAAGAGGATAGCATTAATAATTATCGACATCAAATTCAAACACTCTTATTTCACGATACATGATAGTTGTAAAAAGGATTGAAAATGAAGCCTAGGTAGTAATTTAAACTTGGTTTTCCAGTAGTCTCAAATTTACTCATACAAGAGTTAGCTACGAAAGTCGACAACACTAAATATCGTTAGCTTCTGGTTTGAAACAACAACACCTATTTTATGATTCATCCAAAATGAAAATGCCTCGCATACCTGTTATATGTATCGAAGTGATTGCAAGCATACCTGAGTTGTACAACGCTCATGAAATCTTGACATAAAGGGCACCTAGTAACTTTCCCAGCATAATAATGACAGCAAACCAGACGTCGACTCCAACACTTGACCGGCTAAGAAACAACAAGTTCTAGCATGTAAATTCAAAAATGTATTCAGCAGCCTTATGTACATTCATGCAGCAGACAATGAGCTACATCTATTGTGTGAGGGCTAATAATGCTATTTGGCTGTCTAAACTTCTGTAGGTGGAGCGGCGTTCCAACCACTCACCCACTGGCTGAATGTCATTTTCCTGAGCCACTGAGCCATAGCTCCACATAGAATGTTAATGCAATCAAAATTACCCTCCTGAGCTACAAATACTCTCCATCATCTCAAAACAACCCAAATAATTGAATGACAGTAGCTACCACTGGTTACCACAGATGTTAGTAAGTTTTTGTGGAATTCATGACTGCAATAAGGATACAATCAATAATTTGTTTAGCTGTTGAATATTGTAGATATTTCAATAACTGTTAAACCATATGTCAAAACATCCCTAAACAGGTAGGGGAGTAATACAATGATGAATTAGGCTGCCCTTCATTGCACCTAAGAGTTTCGTTTTACTCAGTTCTTTCAGGCTGAGTATACGTTACAGAAAATCACAAAGTAGTAAACTGATTAACTCGGGGGGAATCATAAAACAGATGAGGTCAAAACTATACAATACATATGTAGCATGAGGTCCTAAATAGGTGAAATAACCCACTAAAGAGACGTTTTCCTTGCATCATTCTAGATTATTCTTTCGACTCCAGTAGAACTATGTTGGGAGTTTTGGATAGGACTACGTGTGGTAACACTAGCGAGGTTATCAACAGGCATTCTACTGCTAAATGACAACTGAAAGTTGTCCATGTGAATCAATTGCAAAATTGTAACATTTAGTAGTGATGTAAAGTGCAGATGCAACTAAAAGATTCAGGTACCTAGGTTGAAGATGTGAATCTTTCTCTACTTATTAGAAATTTAGAAGGCAGGAACTACTTTTAACTCTTTTATATCCATAGACCACAACCCACAGTATGAAACTTTACGCAGCTACTGGGTTGCGACAAAATTTTTTACAACTGTTTTAATGCCCAATTCTTTGTTCTAGTCAAAACCCATCCATACACGGTGGCCACAACACAGCGACGTACTCTTAGGTTTGCTATCAATAAGCAAGAAGCATTTAAGTACCTAGAGAACCACTTGGTTTCACGGTCCAACTTTCCTCACTGATCAATATGTACTGTGCTGGCCACTATTTCACGAGTTAACTATGTACATAATTAAATCCAATATAGAATCAGTAACAGCTTGAATTGCTTAGTGATGACATTTATGACTGAACCTATTTTGGGGGTTAGGATTTTCTCTAAAGATTGCAGATAGGCTTTTATGATCGGTGTCAATAATAAGCACAAAACTTGGTTCTAAAACCTATTATTATTATTATTATTATTATTATTATTATTATTATTATTATTATTATTATTATTATCGAATTTCAAACTTTGGACATGGGAATCGGACTTTTATTTTAACTAATTTCGCACTGATAAAAACCAGAGCAAAAATGGTAATAAATAAACTTCTTACGCTTGTTAGCCACAAATATGAAATGCACATGATGCAGTTAGTGCCAGAAATAAGATGTGGGATATTGCTCAGTGTACTCTAAAGGGTTTATTTACTACTAAAGTGGCTCATCAGCAGATATGACAAGGAAAAACCAAAACGAAACCTATTCTAATAAGATGAAACTTTTGATAAGTGAACAATCTCTTGGTGCGTTCAGACACATGTATCCACTTTTCATCACTAAAACTTCGACATGACCAATTTACATCTGCTCATCATCTCTGTTAGTCGATTTTTTTGTTAATATTATTCTATTTCCGCTCACTTCCAGTTTTCATTGTTTAAGTTTGGTAGCTACAACTACAATATATTTGTGCTGTATTCTATTTTTGGTCCGTCTCGCCCAAGTAGACTACACTAATCCAACGAAACATTTGAATATTCAAAACATTTACCGTCTAAAAAACAAAGCGAAGCTAAAACTACTTCCAATGAGAACACAGGCATCTAATATGTTCTTTTCCCTCCTAACAGTTGACGGTAAAGCACAATAGAGTGAGAGATACCACCTAAACAGTTAGTTTGCAGTGGGAGTAATCAAAAAACAAAATAACAATTAGTCAGACGTACCTGTGAACTTGACGTAGAGTGTTTATCTGAAAATGAAAAATATTTGATAATCAAGTACTTTTTACATTCTGTTCTAAAGAAAACACAATTAACACCCAAAACGTTAATTATCACTAGGCATATACCCTAAATACATTCATATCGACAAACCAAACTAATTTGTAAGTGTTTTAAGGCAAATTGAGCTGTATAGTGAGAAAGAGCATAGTTGTTAAACAATTAAACAGAACCTTCTAAATGAAGTAAGTGCCTACCCGGATGATGAAACCTTCAAGAATAAACCTCACAGCTCAGAGAACATTAAACAATTATCCTCACCCTGGGATAAAATCTTCTGCATTATCTCAGAACTTTAATTATTTAATTTTAGCAAATCAAAAAACTCCTGGGCTAAAATTGCACTTGGTCGTTTGGCTATCGTTTAGCGACCCTGAGATCAAATGCTCACACCCATCCCATAAATTCGAAAAAGTCCGTTTCATTCTTTTTACTGCACAATCAACGTAATACAACTAACTAATATGTGAACATGCCTTAAAGTATCTGACAGTAACTATGTAAACACACGAAGTCTTCTATGTGTACACAATCCTAAATTTAATCAATTTCTTCGAATATAAAAATCTTTACCCGTACTTATAAGAATAACACATCTTCCTAGGATGTGTGTATTCACGAAACCATAGCGCTCAGTTTTGAATTAACCGACAAAAAGATCGCTGTTAAGCTTGTTTTGCCAATCATGTAAGGATGCTAATCAAACTAAGAATTAAACTGACATCAAACTTGAGAAATACGATACTGTATTCTGTAGAGAATTCTTATACTGCCTGTTAGTCCTAAGTAGACGAAATGAGTTTAGCTGGAGTTAATTCTTGAGCATCGTTTGCCAAGATGACTGTGAATTGCGTACGTAAGGTAATAGACAGTCGAAAATCGAATTCCATAATATCTGCCATAAGTGTCCTAATAACGCTCAGAAGGCAATAAATTTAAAATACAACTAATTAAGATTCTTTTCTTATTAGTGAGAAGCATTCCCAAGTAAATAAGCTTTAATAAGTGCAAAGATTTACTTTTCGAATAAAAACGGTTACTGAATGAACAAAACTAATCACGATTTCGGTACTAACTAGTCTAGAAAATATTTAAGGATATGGTTTTAGAGCATATTTGTCGAGTGGCGAAACAAACTTCTATAGAGCGTTTTCATAACACTAAAATCAGTCATGCTAAACACTTTGTGCACGTTACGAACTGAAACCGATGAAAGGGCAATCGCGAATCGACAACGACGTACGGTGTAACACGTTGGATTATAAGCTACACTTATACTTTGTTGCCTAAACCTACGTAAGTGGAGTAAGGGTTTACTTCTGAACTAACAAACCACAATTATAAATTCCTAAAAAACTGCTGACTTCAGCTTAAATTGAATTTGAATGGCAAACCATTGTATAAAAGGGTTTCTGAATACCCATTGCATATGGTGAAACTCATGATCGGGTATATATCACATGTTTTATAAGACATCTCTACCTGACAGTTTCCTCCTCCAGCAAACAATGTTGTGCTAGAACAACAGATAACTCATGAGGATTCAGCTTATCTTTTAGTGGGAGTGAAATGTTGAAACATTTCTGTTCAAAAATATTAGATCGCAATGTATCCCTCTTAACACACTTCGCGTTACAATCTGTAGTCTAACTTACGCAATAAGCACTGATGAATGTGCAGTCATAATTAAGGTGACATGTACACGTTCATAGCCTTAAATATTGAAAAATCAGAGCGTAAAAAGAAAAGCTTAAAAAACTTCAGTAATTTAGTTGTCATACAGCAAACATGAGCTAATGTTGGAAAGATGGACACATTTAAACACTTCACTGTTGGTTTCACTATTTCGCTTGAGTGTTTCAAGCCAACAGAAATGAAAGTACTGACAGAAAGCCTGGACAACGAAATGTGAAAAACGTTCCTGTTCAGACAACTGGTAACCATTTCCAGACTATAACACTTTATCGTAAAAATTAATGAGTATATAGAATATATGATGGGATGAAGGGATAAATTTACAGACACGTACGTATACACTAAATCAAAATGTGTTAAAGCCAATTTCACTCAACTAAAGGTATAATTTTAAAGTGAACAGCATTATAGAGTAATGACGGAATAGCAAAGGATCTTGATGGTAACAGAGACCAAAACTAGTGTGTGTGTAAGCAGTTAGACAAAAACAAAACGAACACTTATAAAACAGTGAAAAATTAAAAAAATTCATTAACCTGAACAGCTAATAAAAAAGCAATTTTACGGTGCAAATAAGAAAGTGCACAGAAATATCACTTAGATAACACACACACCATCACTTGTAGTGTTAGACAAGTGTGAATAATTATTTTGGCGGCATGCATATGCATATGTGCATATACTAAGCGGTAGAAAATAGGTTTTACTTCGATAGAAATCACTGAGTAATAAAACCACCAGGTTCTAAAACCAGATAACTACTGGTTACTACGTTGATAGATTTTGACGCCCCAAAAAGACTAAACGCAAGTAGAGATGAAGAATAATGAGTGACTTCTTTAGTCACTAGACATTATTCGTGACTTTTCTTATAGGCACAAACGACTACTCTTTATTTTCGTTTACACTACCAGGTTGACTAGATGCATCATATTATCAAGCTTCAAAGCTAAACCTCTTTTCCACCGTTTTGTATATGTATTTTTTTTAAATACGTAGATAAATTTTTAAAAGCTCTGAATATTTATTCTAAACTGCATACAAGTCATGTCCGCAATGTTTGTCTTTGCATCAATAAAAACTTTATACGTGGCATACATAATTCAGGAGGGATAAAAAAATCTAATAGAAGCTGATAAAGAATGTCATATTAAAATGCAAACAAAAACCCAGGTATGCGCCACTTAAGAAACGGTTGACCCCAAAGTTGATAAAAGGTAACACATAACACTAGCAAAACAACATCAAACATTTTATATACAGAAAACACCGAAATCAGAACAATAATGATTCCCAATCAACATGCGGTTGAACAATATAGTATATTTACCCGCTGAAAATTATCTGAGGCCAAGAAACAGAAAGCAAAAGGTTGAATAGATTGAGTAACTACAATGAGAATTTGAGCGTATGATACATGGATACAATGTGTAGATTACTTAATGCAGTGATTTTCTGATTCATATTAAAGTCTCTTATTACTTTATTAATGGTTAAGCTGGCGTCACTACACCAAAGTTGTTAATCCCACTATTCAGGATGGGTAGTCGGATATCTTTTTGAATGCAGTTGCTACTGACCTAAAACTAATGGCATACTTTTAAATAACTATGAAATCATTCTGGTTGACACTTTCATCCGTATGGTTGACTGGAAACTTTGAGTTATTCCATAAGTCGTTTAATGATTATAAAAATGGCACAAAACACTCCCATTAGTTGGTTTATAACCATACTTTATGAATAAGTAGCTCATGATAACTATAACACAAGTAAGAACTTTAGCCAAGACCAAAATATGTTTAGTCTTCGATTAAGAAAGTAATTGCTACACAGAAATTAGGGTGAATACACAGTCGATACAATAAATCTAAACTGTGACATGCTTGGCAAGCATTGGGTACTGCCCACATAATATCATGAAAGTTGAGGAAATAAAACCTTGTTACATAACCCGAATATATTTACTTTTAAAAAACCAACCTAAGAGGCCTTACTAAGAACTAAATTCAAAGCGAAATCGCGGCTGGATTCAGTAGATATAAACGCTGACTAACAGGATTAACGAAACCAGTATTAGTCACCTGCTTTACGCCAATCTAACTTATAACTGAACACACGAAGGGATTCTATTCCCAGAACTTTAAAAGTATTTAGCATTCACTTGACATCTACGTAGGGAAAAATGTACTATAACTACTCATTGAGGTATACCACTGATGATACCGCATCGTTCTATGCAAAAGTTGGCTGGTAGATACGAGATAAAAATGTATGCAAGTGAAACTTATTTTTCAACAAGGTTTACTCGATGGAAAGAACCAAACTGCAGGAATAACTACCGTTTGATTTAAATAAATTACTCACTTCACAACAATATGTATGAAAATAATGTGATATAGATATCCTGACAAGGGAAAAGCCTGTATGAAAAACGCACACGACTGAGAAAGCATTCCACAAAACCAGACACTTGAACTGAAAAATTATTTTCACTGCAACGGTCAAATGTAAATCAAGGGTGCATCATAATATTTAATGCATTTAAATGTTAAATTAGCTGATTTTAGAACCTGAAATTTTCCGGAAATAGGTTGAAAAATTAGGAGCATAAACAAATGAGTGACAGAAAATCAGAATTTTTAACATAACTGGATATAAGAATTCACTTTGCAAACGAATAAACATACACTAACATTGATTCAATGTACCCCAGAGTGAAGTTACAAAATTAGTGATCTAACACTCGATTTCAGCAGCCTATTACTACTGAAATCAAAATACGAATCCCATCACGAATCTTCCTCATAATTAAACACTATCTTGGGATAGTATTTTGTTAGAGACAAACTAATAACACCGCCTGAGCAGTTGCATTGAGCGTTTAGAAATTATGTAAACAAAGGATGCGTAGTTATCCAACAAGACAGCTGATACCACCAACGGATTTCGAAGCAAACACGACGAAACGCGGTACTTTGATAACCATAAGCTCGGCGTAATTTCAGCAGTATTAGATAGATCAGTTTGATTTAAGAAGAATGATTAATGGGTTACATCTCCCCTCAGATAGACCTCCGATATAATAAGTTATACGTTACAGTAGTAGGTATAGAAAATTGCTCTAGATTCTATGATCACTTGAAATTACTACAAGTCATATAGACGGTGATAAGGAAGTAATTTCTAGTGATACTAAAACAGCCATAAACACTTATCAGGAAGGACGAGAATTCACTAACTCATTACTGAACCCGCTAAACAAAAAAAGTTTGGTCAATCTTTTCGCAGTACCAGTACTGCATATAGCGAAATGAAAACCCTAAATGGATACCTAATATATTTCTCAGCCTGCAACACCTGTAAATTATATGAAATATGCCATTTTCGACTAAGGGTAGGATGCAGTAAGTAACAGGAAGCTCTGTTCTAGACTAAGGTTTTTACACGATTGTTGCTTAAAATAAGGTGACCTGATCTGATCGCTTCCGACTACGAAAGAGTTAGACCAAATAAGATTCCTACGCTCAAAACCAAAAGAAATCGGGTCTCTGTTAAAACATGTTCAACACAGATAAGCGCTGTTGAATGCATTGTTAGGCTGTCTGTACAATAGAAATGTGTAGTCTTAGGTACGGTTCGTAAAGGTCAGAACAAATTCTCCTTGAACATGATCTTTCCTGATTAGTAATGCTGATATGGCTTCAAAATAATGACATTCTTCAGTGGAAGTTAGGCATACAGTTAGAATTATCCTAAAAGGTAATTCCTTATTTGCCCTTTATTTGCACCACATGGACGTTGATTATCTGTAATTGATGTCTGTGTTAGTTGCAGAAACATAAATTTGTTGACATGAAATGGATATCAAGTACTAGACTGAACAGAGGTATATCCATCCGGGTTTGTATAGTGAGAACGAACAAGAGTGAACGACTAGTGGAGCTAACTTTATATAAAGATAGAGAGTCGAAACGAAAGTTGATTATACGAAATGTTGGTGAGCAAGACACACGAAATCGAAGAGGAACCTCACATACAAATTCATTGGCTCAAGTTGCCATACTTCACAGTTATATACAAGAACAGGTGGACAGAATGAAAGTGATATAAAAGTAGAATAAGTTGTGTGAGGATAAAAAATTGGCGACTAAAGTTCAATGGGAATATTCAAGCTTTACAATAAGTCAAAAGGTGAATAGAAAGCTCACAACCTCACCAATCAACTTGCCTGTGTTACTTAGTACCCTTTGCCTCACGTCAACATTGCTCAGTCATTCCACCAAACGCAAGCAATTCTACCAAGATACCTATAACCAAAACACTAACCGCTTCATGTATTCTACTTTCAACAGCCGTCTCAGCCGTATAACAGAACAGAACCGACTGCAGCAGAGTATACTCGTTCTTTGATAGATAGTCGGATATCTCGCTAGTCGGTGCAACAGATGACGCAAGTTGGTAAGTCCCAAACGAGCTTTCTGTATCCCAGCTACGATTTAGTTAACAACTAGTGTTTGGACTGATGCAACTCTCCAAGAAAGCGAAATGGTCGACACATTCAACCACTTCACCCCCGATCATTAAACTAAGAGTACTTGGAGTAGACCAGCCTTGAAGCATCATCTTGCATTTGACTGGCGGGAAACCCATTCAAAGCATACTAGGGATTCAGATCAACGTTTTTAGAAGGTCCTGAATGTTGTCAGTATCTTCAACCTAGCAGGGCAACATCGTCTGGATGTTCCAAATCAACTAGAGGGCCTCCAGGGAGTAGATCAATCCCAGTGAAGTTACACGTCCACAGGGTTATGTCCATTACTATGTCTATAAGGAAGCTGAATAGAGACGACGATAATGACTATCCCTGGTGAACACTAGTAGCTGTCGTTATTTCTGATAACAACTCTCTAAAAGCCCTCACACGGCCCCGTAGGTTCGAATTGAGATCTTTGGTTGACGTTATGTACTCGTTTCACAATCAGACGCTACCACAACACCTCACGATCGGTTGAATCAAATGCTACCTTCATGTTACGAAATATGGCAAGTGTCGTTTACCGGCTAGGAAGTATGACTATGTTCCAGCACCTGTCGGTGTCAAAGTATGACTGATGAACCTTTGTCCAGGTCTGAAGCCTGTCTGCTTTTCTCGAGTTTATTCTCGAGCATCAGTTAGGCGTTCTCGTGTTTCAATCGAGCATAAACAGACTTTATTACCGCGTTTTCTGGGACCAGTAAAGCGCACATACATGTGGCCATACTGACGCGTGATAGGAATCCAGACTGGGACTCCAGAAAAAGCAATGACCCTTCACTAATCCTCCCCCAACGATGGCTTATAGTAATATGATATATGTCTCCACCGTTATTTTGATGTTGGCGGACACCATATGAGTGCGTCTTATAATGCTTATAGTTAAAGATGATTAGAAACAAGTGATTGTCACAACAAAATTGCAACAGACGACCATCGCTGTCCGTTCATTGGCATAGGATTCAGCAAATACCCTCAAGATGCCTTTTCAGTAGGCTCAGCTTCACTGCGTGAGTCACTTGCTGCTATGACTACCACTGAACATTTTGCTTCCTGTATCAAAGTTGACAGATTTTCATAGAGCTCATCCTTTGCACCATCCAAATGCAGTCGGCTGGTGCGTAGAAGACTAAAAACAGGTATCGTCCAGTTTCACTATCCTTCCTATCTCTTACAGATCCATTCAGTCGAATAGCACAGACGGTAATGGACTGGTATCTAGCTGAGCAGCAAAATTCCTGCTCTGCGACTCAATGCCATGCCTATGCAAGCGAGTCCACGACAGCTAGTTAAGTCTGTAGGTACTTTCAAGGTAAATTATGAAGATTCGCTATGGCCAGATGAGGTTAATTTAACGACTACACGGCTCCTGTATGTGTCTGAGACACAATACAACCATGGATACAGATTCAAGTTTTGGTGAGCGATGCTTGTTGTCCGGTTTGGCAGAGAATTCGAACGTTGAAAGGTCTTATATGAAATCGAAGGCGGGTCATACGAGACCAGGAATGAAGTTTCGATGACTGATCGTTCGCAACGGTCGCAAGATGAGATGTTGGGGAAGATGTAAGATCCTTAATAATAGTATCAAGAGGTAGTGATGGCAAAAGAGGAGACAGTTGAGAAGGATAGGTTATGTTTACTTGAGTCTTGTGCACTAACCGAAGCGTGTGAGCGGTTGACACCTCTTGGCTGCCCAAACTGTGGAAGACTATTGCTTCCTAAGATACCTGAAAGAGGAAAGATCTGTGGCCGTAGAGCCTATGGAACATCTGCTTAAGGCCTGTCACAGCTATCTGTGGAGTTTGGTTAGAGATCTGATCGTTCCAACCCCGGATAGGGAAAACACGTACCACCGGCACCAGAAGACAGTGGGGCAGGGAGTGAGCTATATTTTGGGCCGACCGTTTTCAACCGCTCTTCATGTAAGGAGGGTAGCATCAACGTAACACTGCTGGTCATCCAAGGAGAACACCTTTCTGTTGTCACACCCTAGCTAGCCAGCAGAAGTACGACTTCGCCCTTAAACCCCAATCAGTGTAATAATGTATACTACAGAACTGCTTTCCGTTTTACTACTATCCAACAGACGTTTCTGGCATGGTAGGACCTCGAAGGGGCAAGCGTCCAGCTAGTGTAGCTCGTTAGGTTGTGATATGCAAGCTCGATCACCATGTCAAAGTAGCAGCTGTCGGCCTGGTTAGAAAGAAGCATCGTAAACTTTTCTTAAACAATTATATCGAAAGACCGGTACACTGAAGACATTGAGAGACATGCTAAAGAAAATGGCGACAGTAGTTAATAAACTAAGCACTTCATATAAGAACAGAATCAACTACTTCATTATACATTTCAAGTGCACCTCATTACCACTTAGCAGAAAATCCCAGCATGACAGTCAGTGATTCGGATCTCGAGCCATTCGTAATGATACCTGATGTTGCTTAGTCTCATAACCTGAAATCTTAACTGAGAAGTCACAGCTCCGTGCTCGAGCACCAGCATTACAACTATTATTCTACAACCCGATGACCGACAACACCTGGTCTATAAAAGTGTAGTGATAGTAAGACACCCCAAGCTTCAAGACAGTAACCGACTCTATTACTCAGTGAGCAGTGGCAGTCTTGTGATACCTAAGAAGTGAATCCTACAACTCGAAAACTTGTAATCAAACAAGCACTAGCAAACACACTTGGTTACATCAGCTAAAAAAAGCCGTAACACGTGATTCTTGACTGATATCACTCAGTAGTCTTCAGTAAATGACTAACTATTGCGCACCCGTACGGTGAGTTGGGTGCTATTAATTTGGTGTGCAAGGAAAAAAAGTAAAATAAGGACAAAATTGCGGACTTAGATGGGTAGTCTAATATAAACCCCAAAACTTACTACAGTTTTGAGATCCATCACTGCCACATCTTTTGTATTTTAGACAGTCCCGACGACCAAAACCATCCGACGCCATATTACATAAAACCCTCCAGTGATGGCACTTCCTACTGAGACTTATTTGCAGACAACAAACAAATGTACTGAAGGGTACAATTACGAACATACCAATGTCCAATATCTTTTTACGGGCTTGTGTAAACCAGCTGATTTCTTCTCGCTCGCTTCTTGATCTTGCAGAACGGTTCCAGGTCTTTGGCTGATTCCGATGCAGTAGATCCAGACACTCGTCTGCTATAGCTCTGGTTTACAGAACAGGAAGTTTAGTGTTGGTTTGTTTGCCTTGGACTGCTGTCAGACAGTTGTTCGGACTGGCGGCCACAGAGAGTTAGGTATGGTGAAGATAAAACCTAGAAAGGCGGATTTGTGTTCAAATGGTTCAAGTGGTTGCTGACGGAATAGAAGAAGCTTTCGCTTCACTGGCTTCCACGTCTACAGTCCGTGGATCATTACTCCTTTTCGTTGTTAACCTGTTGTACAAGTAAAGAAAAGTGAAAAAGTGGCAATTAAAGTGTGAGAATTCACTTAGTTCTGGGCAGATCCCAGACGCACAACAAGTGGATATCCAGTGGGCGTTTAAAAGATTCAGACGAAGCAGTCTGCATCATATCCTCAGGAGGAGCGTTCCAGGGTTTATCAACTCTTAGGGAATAGAAGTTGTGCCTGACATCCAGCCTGCTATGTTCCAGGCTTAGTTTCTGTGCATGTCCTCTAAGGTTAGCGTTGCAGGTAAGATTTAATAAGTGTCGAAGTAGGGTTTCCTCGAGGAGTTCCATAGTGGCTACTTGGTAGTAATCCTCTGTTCGGGTGACTTCAGTTATTCAGTATTTTGTAGGCCATTATCAAGTCACCTAGTAATCTTCGGTAGCTAAGAGAGTATAGGCCCAGACCTTTCAGTCTATCCTCACATGGTTTTTGTCGTATTTCAATATCCCCTTTTGTGATCTCTTGAAGAAGTTCAGAGGCAACTTTTCAATTGTGGTGGAGCGAGGATGCAATGGACATCCAGATGGGGTGGCATGTAAGTCATGTAGGGCTTCGAAAAGAGCTCTGGCCTGAGGGTACCTAGTTGTTTACGCACAAAGTGTAATACACCATATGCTTTTGAAGCATCACCTGGGTAATTGAAACTGGTGTCTAGTTTCTCCGTCACCGTTAGAACCAGGTCTTTTTCCACTGTGGAATGGGATAGACGTGAACCACAGAGATAATAGGATACTTTCTGGGGATCAGGAGTGCGGAAAAACATGGACCGGTACTTATCCACGTTAAATGCCCGTTTGTTATTAGTTCTCCATCCCTCTAGTGTTTTGAGGTTGTTCTGTAATGCCTTCGATTCGGCTTCGCAAGTTATTGCCCTCCATAATTTGACGTCACCAGCATATAGGGGAATCGGAGAGCTGATATGTAACAGCAGGTCATTCACGAACAGTGGGAACAACAGTGGACCTAGGACTGCTCCTTGTGAGACACAGGATGAGGATGTTCTCCAAGTTGAGTAGACCCTGTTGACTTCCGTGCAGAACTCCCTATTGTCTAAGTAGTTTTGCAGCCATGATAGCACCTGGCTGCGCATACCTAACCCAGCTATCTTATGTGTAAGGGTCGTGTATGAGACGGTGTCAAAGGCTTTGGCGAAGTCTATAAAAATTGCGTGGACCGGGACCTTGAGATCCCGGTATGCTATCCAGTGATCACAGGCCGTCAGGAGGTTGGAGGCACATGACCTACCCTTCTGGAAGCCATGCTGAGTGTCACTGAGTGCTTGTTTCTTGTCCAGATATTCTCTTATACGGTCGTCTATCGCGATCTCCATAACTTTTGATATTACTGGTAGAAGTGCTATGGGTCTATAACAGTTGGGACTCTGCCTATCTCCTCCTTTAAAGATGGGAGAAAGGATAGCCCGTTTCCACCCTCGTGGGAGCCTAGCTTCATCCAAGGAGTGTTGGAAGAGACTACAGAGTGGACCACTTAGGGAGCCTGCACACTCTCAACACAGATGGGTGGATGTCGTTGCACCCTGGGGATTTCCCCGCGCTTGGCTTTGATAGCTTGTCGAGAACAACAGTACGAGTTATCTGTATTTCGTGTAACTCGGCAGCGTCGGATGACGTTGAAGGCTGTTCGGACAGTTGGTATGCGCACTTTTGTGATGGAATGTTAGGCTGTGTGTCAAATGTAGTGCTCAACAATTTGGCGACCTCCCGTCCAAAGAGGTTTTCTTTTATGATGCATGTTCCTTGGCTTGTCAATTTTCTCTATAATAATGATGATAATAATATTTATTCTTGAATATACAGGCACAAACCAATTTTACAGGTATGAAAACTCTGAAACCCGTTTTGTAGTTGTCAGCATGAGTTTTCCAGGTCTAGAAACTCTGGAACTCCTGTTTGCGGGCATGTTTCGGTATACATATGTATATGATATAAGCCGTCAAGTTTAGGGGCAAAAATATTTTCGTAAATCTTCGTCAGATAACTTACTATGGCGTAAACTCTATTAGGTGCCGCATCCCCCTTAGTAACTCGAGTTCTATCAAAAGACCTAAGTGTATGGCTACGAACAGCTTCTGAATCCAAGTAAAACACTTCCACAACCCCACCAGTTCTCCTAATCAGCTAAGACTCCAGCACTACTCTCTCACACTGTTACTCAAGGGCTGCTATTGAGGACGCCTATAATAACCATGCGGCTGACAAGCATTGTTGATGGTAACCTGGTGGAAATCGCCGACGTAAAACCGAATCGGACAGTCTACTTTAGCCTTCTGGCACCGCAAGCACGAACCAAGTCTAGATATTGAAAAATGATAAACAGATGGAGTGTATATTGGTGGCTGGCGGTGGAATCCAGGACGAGTGTTTAACCTTATTTGGGAAACACCAGCAAAATGTTTCTGCCTTCTGGCAGACGATGTTCCTTCCTTCAAGCCTCAAACCCGAGTACGATCACCTTAAACGCCAGACCATTATCCACTAGACCACCGAGTCACGATAGCCACTTCTCTTGCTGTGGGTGTTGTTTTAACGTTGTTGCCTGTATTTTTCTACAGTTGGGTGGACGGAGCTGATCGGTCTCTGCTGGCTTATGGGACCATATGCCGATGCCTCGAGAGTGCCCGGGGGGTGGGTACATCCATCTGACAGGTCCCAGGTAGGACGAAGTGTGCATCCTGGATTCCATTGTTGGCCGCTACCCACCATCAGTATATGATTCAAACACACTACAAGCAACGGGACCAAATATGTGAAATGTTCGTCATTTTTGGAAATCTACGAGCCAAGTTCCCTAAGCTATCGCTTGACCAGCCCATCGACGCTTTTTACACATCTTCCCCAGCATTGACATCCACCTTATACGTCACCAGTTCTGCCATAGCGGAAGCGCACCGACTTATCACAAGTTATGAGAACATTATTACCTGTAATATCCCCGGCACCGAGCAACCTTGGAGATGTGAAAAGCACGCTTCTGAGTGATTTCTGAGTGATATAGCCTGCACTTGTCGCAGGCCCGAAAATATTCAAGGGACAAGTCCTATCCAGTTGTCACCAAATTTACCTCACGACTTGATGCAACTACACTCTATGGTGGACAAGTCCTGCGTAAGAACACACATTGCCACCTGATTAGCATGGCGCATATCAGAAAGTCATCATAAAGGCAGGTTTCTAAATCGCTGATAACAGTTATGGACCCCAAAGAATGCAAAACAACGCTCAAAATTCCCTTATGTGAAAATGATAATCCCGAAGGTTTTAGTTAGCATACAATGAGTACCGCGTACTAACGAGCAGTGGTAGACGGCATGATGAGAGCTGATTCTAAAATATTCGATCATTTAGTTGAGAATAGTAGGCCCACACCCGGCTTGGATTTCTGTGGCAACTCACGAGCCCCTTTGGCCAGCTGCAGTTCATCACAATTTGGGCTCAGGGGGGTCGGAAGTTGACCATATTCGATACTGAACATTCCTTGAAGTTGTCACATGGTCTACAAAACGCCAAGCACGTAAATCCACAGGGTCCAAAAGCATCCCAGCATCCTTCTATCGACCGGAAAACTGAAATTTGTCCCTATCAAACCAAACCATCTAAGAATCAAAAACATGATAACCACTCACATAAACGCATGGCTCCGGGAACCACAAAAAAGCTTAGAGTAACGGAGTAGGACGATACTCACTTATCTACAACCCACCAGTAAGCCACCAGTCACTCATGACCATAGGTATGGCGCCCGAAATCACTTTAGCCCCCTCGTTAGCCTACTACTGCCGGGACCCACTGACCCGACGGCTGGCAACGTTGCTACGACCACAATACTATTGGCTATGTGGGTATACAATATGGCTTCCTAAGTGTTGCGACTACGTACTGGTTTACATGCTTGCCGGCCCCTAACAGTGGTTGGAAAACTAAAGACAACCTAGATACCACCTTAAGTTCCACAGTAACACTCGATGGTGGACTAACACTTCCACAACTTGTCCTGTCACAGCTTTCCACTTCTATCCCCGCGTGAATGATGTCATCCACCCCTATTTATTTGACTTTCCAACCCGTAGTCATCATCAACTTTTCAACGGCCTTGATTCCAATGCTGATAACATCCAGTCGCCAAGCTGAGAGCAAACTGACTTCATCTAACTGCAGACTTCCCCAAGACATATTAAACATTCCGGAGCACGGCATAAGTGACTTCGGTGTGTTTCTCAGTAAGAGCCAGTCCATAGTAAACAAATAACGTGCATAAACTCTTTGTTACTGATTCGCTTGCCGTCTGCAATACTGAGAGTCGAAGCTTAACATACACCTGATTTGAATGATGACTGTCTCCTTTTCGCCGTTCAGAGGAAGTAGATATACTAGTCGTGGCGGAGGATGTATCACACACACAAAGGAATACCATAAAGCCACCCACTATGAAGACCCGACTTTCAGCATAAATGACGCCGCGTGGGACTCATTAAACCCTCCGGTCACATGACTCTTTTAGTGGCCCGCGTTT